ATTATTTACAGACCGCCGCTATGTAGCTTGAATATTGCTGAGTGCGGCGTAAACCTAAACTCACTCACTCTTTTCTGAACACTAGTTCCCTGTGAACTATGAAGATTTCAATAGAAGAAGGGGCAGAGGCGGTGGGGTAGCCTGGCTTGTCACTTCGAAGATCCAGGTTCGATTCCCCATGGGTACAATGTGTGAAGCCCATTTCTGGTGTCCCCCGCCGTGATATTGCTGGAATATTATTAAAAACGGCGTAATACCATACACACTCACTCACCCACAACCAGGGGCGGGCATTCTTCAAAATAAATAACTGACTAAAATATGTCTATTTATATAACAGATAGATACACAATTTAAGTATTTATTTAGAATGTCAGAAGAGTTTAAAACATCACCATAAACCAATTATTACAACTGCATCTGGGCTAATAAATCAACAACAACAACAGCATCCCCTTCCGGAGAATCGAATGCACAAATCTGTGCCCAATTTTTAAACAGAATACAAACCGATCCTCCAGAACACGAGATGGTGAGTTTAGATTTACGCCGCTTTTAGTAGCATTCCAGCAATGTCATAGCAGGGACATCGGAAATGGGCTTCACGTATTAAACCCATGTGGGGAATCAAACCCGGGTATTCGGCGTGACCAGCGAATGCTTTATCCACTTGGCTACCCTCCAAGACACGAGGATCGAGTCAATGTCTTTCGATTGATAGACGTCCGTGCGTCTTACAGAGGAAATACGGTTAGTTCGATGCACACGACACTGACCTCGTTTCGTCTGACCAACTTGTAAACTTTAGGCGTTTTGACCTACTTCTGTTAACCGTTTTGCTTGGTACCTTACAAAACCCGGATTGCCTAAAAGCCGGGCCGGCCGGGCCGGGCCAGGCATAGACGGGCCAAATATGTTACTGGCCAAGTACTCAATTATCGACAGCTAAGATAACAATTTATTTATGTAACATACACACCTGACAATAACGAACAATCGCAAATAACATTCGTGCATCAATACAATGTCATTGCGACTAAAACGCTTAAAACTCCAAAGGCGAGAGGCCTGTGAATGGGGCTGAGCAAGGTTACGTGTAAATGAGGAATCGGCAAACGAAAAAGGATTTCAAATCAAGATTTCACCATCTACAGAACATTATTAAAAGATGTCTACGAGATAAAGAAATTTATCGAGAAGAAAAACGATAATATGAAACATTTTTACAGAAAATGGAATGTCCTAGATGCAGTCCTGTAATTTATTTTTTAGTCTTTTAATTCTCTGTAATATTAGCTAGCATCTCAATTATTAATCTATATTCCCAGTACCATATGTTATACATTGTCTGCTTTCTATTATGCAACCTGTACCGTTCTACTCTACCCACATATCTTGATCAAATGTAATCAAGTAAAGTGAATAAAAATACTTTACAAAAAAAAAGAAAAAGGATTTCAAACGTATGGATACTTTAATGGATCCTGATACACATTTCCATTTGCTTTTACATATACATGTATATCCAAGCAAATACCACGTTAGAAAGTCACTATTCATCGTATTTAAAGCATATCCACTGGTAAATGTCAAGATTGTTTCCCCACACTCTCAACATTATCGCCGTCAGTATACTGTTCTAGTCTAAGCAGGGATAATCTACAGCCTATTCTATTCTCCCTGGTGTAAGTAAACTTAGACTCAGTTTTATTCGTTACACTGCTATACAAAGTCTAACAAACCCTAGTAGAAAGTCGCGTCAGCTAACCTTTGAGCGAACTATGACCGTCCAATCAAACGCGAGACGGCCGAACGGATTTAACCAATAAGACAACGGCTGCTATTTAGGAATCGGCGGGACTTACAAAACGGTTTTTGGATTTTCTCTTCCCTGATCATGACACTGATCTGTCAACAAACGAAAATCCCAAAAAAACTAGGGCTGGGACGGGTTCTCGGGTACTCGAATCCGGGTCGGGTACAGCTGGAATCGAGTCCTATTTCAAGGAATCGAGTATCCGGAAAGGGAGAGAACTCAAGGTCAGACAATAACTTGTCTTTCTCATTATTGACGTAACACACATTTGCATCATTGGTATTGTCCGATTAATGGAGGTTATTATTAACGACTGTAATTTATCTGCGCATGAGCAGTAAGTAGTCAAGTTACAGTAACAGTAGAAACGAAAAGTTTATTTTAACGAGCAATGTAAGTAATGGTGTTACTCGTTATATTGGTTATACAGACGTCAACCATATAGCTTGAGATCATTCTTAATGTCTTATTGACACCCTTATAAGTTTTCTAATAATCTCTGTCAAATCGTGATTGAATATTCAGAAAGTTGACAGAAGAGCTGTATTCCTTACATTTCCGGGTACTCGATTCCGATTCGGGTAAGTACATGCGGGTGCTCGATTCCATTTTTTCCTACCCGTCCCAGCCCTCCACAAAACACAGATATTTGACATGCAGTATATACGCTTAATTAGGGTTCCTAATGACGCGGTTACTATTCCGCAAGATGGCACCTTGGAATATTGACGAAAACGCTATTTTCAGCGACTGTTTTACTCGCTGTTGTGAATAATGCGCCCTCCATGTATAAAACTCGGAAGCGATCGTGCGGAAAATAGCATTCGGAATCGTTCGAGTTTTCGAGGTAAAAGTTCAAACGGTATGTGCGAATGTTAACTTTTGCCATTTAGTAAGCTTTTTCTGATTGGTCAATCCAAAAGGTTAGCTGACGCGACCTTCAACTAGGGTTTGTTAGACTCAGTTTTAACAGTGTAACGAAAAGTACTGAGGCTAAGTTTACTTAGACTGTATACTGTTCGGTCCGACTTGACCCGAGCGGTTAAAAACATCTAAAACGTCAGAGATGTTTCATCATAACTGTTTACAGATGTAGATCAGTATTATATCTACATAAACACCACATTATAGTGACTTCAGTCAACTACACATGTTGCAATACTTTACCTACATGTGGTCGCACTCGACCTGTACACTGACCCCAAAAGTGGCCAGTGGGGATTCGCCGGGACATCAGTCTAAGTAAACTTAGGCTCAGTATTATTCGTTACACTGCTATACTGAGTCTAACAAACCCCTGTGGAAGGTCTTGTCAGGTAACCTTTCCAATTGACCAATCAGAACACAGCTTACCAAATCGCGAAAGTGGGCATTCGCACATACCTTTCGAACTTTTACCTCGAAAAAGTTTGTACCCGAACGATTCCGAATGCTATTTTCCGTACGATCGGTTCCTAGTGATGCACGCCACAGCAGTGAGTAAACATTCGCTGAAAATAGCGTTTTGTCAGTATAAAGCATGTCAACTTGCGGAAATATTAGCTAATTATAACCATGTCAACGGGAACCCCAAAGCGTATATACTGCAGGTTAAATGTCAGTGTTTTATGCGGATTTTCATTTGTTGGAAGATCAGTGTTGGCGACCGGGTACGAGAAAATCCATTTTGTAAGTCCCGCCGAACCCTAAATAGTAGCTGTTGTCTGATTGGTTAAATCCGTTCGGCCGTCTCGCCTTTGATTGGACGGTCATAGTAGGTCGCTCAAAGGTTACCTGACGCGACCTTCCACAAGGTTTTGTTAGACTCAGTATAGCAGTGTAACGAATAATACTGAGTCTAAGTTTACTTAGACTGGCCGGGAAATAAGTCAGCCATTGTATGTTCCGGGAAATTAATTACTTGCACTGTTGCATGCTCAATTTGCTCTTTAAGCTTCATACTGTTTTACGTGTCGGCCTTCAGTCACCTTCGATTGTTTATGGCGTTACGTCGTTCTTAGCAATATTCCAGTAATATCACGGTAGGGGACAGCAGAAATAGGCTTCACACATTGTTCCCATACAGGGAATTGAACCCACCGCCCCGCGACAACAGAAAAGGCCCTGAACCGCACAGGTGGTCCATTTGTACTTTGTTGTTGATTATGGGACTGTTTTGCATTCTAGGAGAACTATTTGTTCTCCTACGGAAATGTTTGGACGTTATGTTGGTGTAGGCATCTAGTCTTTGGTTTTACCTTAATCTGTCAAACCCGTGAAAATCCGGGCTAGAACTGATCTTCAGCAACCCATGCTTGTCGTAAGAGGAAACTAACGGGATCGGATGGTCAGGCTCGTTGACTTGGTTAACTCATGTCATCGTATCCCAATTGCGTAGGTCGATGCTCATGATATTGATCATTGGATTGTTTAGAGATCACCGCCAAATAGCTGGAATATTGCTGAGAGCGGCGTAAAACTAAACTCACTTACTAACAAACTGCCAACACAACACAACGTCCCACTCAGAGGTGTGAGTGAGTGAGATCAGTTTTATGCCGCACTCCACAATATTCCAGCTACATGGCGGCGGTCTGTAAATAATCGAGTCTGGACCAGACAATCCAGTGATCAACAGCATGAGCATCGATATTTATACAGATGACATAATGCCCATGTAAACAGATGTAATTTAAAAATTACAAAAAACTAATAATTTAAAAACTAGACAATTCCCTCAAATTGATTTGCCCATCGAAAAAAGAAATAAGGCAATGCCAACATTCACACGTTCACATAAAGGTACATCAGCAAAAGACGTATTTACATTCAACCAAAATATGATAAAACAAACACATTTCATTTATATTATCTCGGCCATAGTCCACGCAGAATGCTGGTGTGGTCAGGTAAAGCGATCGCTTTAGAAAAAAGTGAAATAACAATTATTTATTTATTTATTTATTTATTTATTTGAAAAAGTGCAATAACATTCATTCATTCATTCATTCATTCATTCATTCATTCATTCATTCATTCATTCATTCATTTATTTATTTATTTATTTATTTATTTATTTATTTATTTATTTGTTATGATTGATTGATTATCATTCATTCAGTCAGTCATTTATAAGTGTATTTATCCGGTTTCGTTTTAATATTCTGCAATCCATATTTTAGTATTAGACGAAGCCAGGCCCGGTCCGGCTTATATTGACCCCGGGTTTCGTGGATGTGGCAAGCGGTGCAGTGGGAACATTTCTTTAAGCGCGTCACGTCAAAAAAACAGAGGTAGGTCGAAAATGACATTGATCACAACTTGCGGCTGAGACTGCATAAGTGTATGGTACATATTTCATGCAATGACATAACACTATCACAGCACAAATGATGAGACAAACGCGCTATCACGTTGACAGCTGTTCCGCACTTGAACATTTGTAAAATTGGAATGGCCGATGCTGGTCGTATATTTTCGGATGCAATCGAGGCACGACGTGATCGACATACCCGCCAAATCTGACAGATGACAGATCTTGACCGACAAGACCACTGAACAGACGGACCTCATCGAACGAACCAAAAAGTCCGCTAGCTCTCCCCGATCATCAGACTAGATCTAAACTTCTTTCTATGCCACTGGGGGGGCGGTGGGGTAGCCTAATGGTTAAAGCGTTGGCTCGTCACGCCGAAGACCCGGGTTCGAATCCCCACATGGGCACAATGTGTTAAGCTCATTTCTGGTGTCCCCCGCCGTGATGTTGCTGGAATATTGCTGAAAGCGGCGTAAAACCGAACTCACTCAGTCAGTCAGTCAGCTATGCCACTTGGCTTTAGTTTCACAATCACACTAGTCACAGTCACTGCATGTAACTGGAATATTGTTGTGTGCGGTTTAAAACTAAACTCACTCACACAGTCACGTTATTCACGACAGAAAGAATTATAAAGATCACAAATAGTTAAATCAACCTGTCAGATATCCCCAAGTAGCAAAATGATAATTTGACGGGAACACATATCATGGATGGAACTAGAACATTAAATCACAAACTAATGCATTATCAATATCAAGGTTTATTACATACCTATTTAATGTAATCATGACAGCTACTCAAATACCATGACATCTCATTCAATGCGTAATGTCCAAATGCAATAGAATGACATTCATTTCATACTTAGTTGTACGTGAACAGTGCGACATAGCCACTGGCCTGCTAGCTTGTGGCTAGTAAAAATCCATTTGGGCCAGTAAATCTTCACAGTCACTGGCCCGACGGGCTAGTGAATTTTCATGGGGTTATTTTGTAAATATATCACTCTCTCCGACTTGTTAAGTTAAACTACACTTTTAAATCATGCAACATATTATGGCCTGATAAAATGTCCCTCACATAAGCAGCTTAAGGATGAATCTTGTGTCATGCCGACAATATCTTATTCTCATCTATTTTTGTAATCTTTTGTTTAGTTTCTACATTCAAATTTCGGGCTAGTGAATTATTTTGTGGGCTAGTATCTTTCAGGCATAGGTGAGCCGACTGGCTAGCACAAGTTGGAAACTATTTCACTGACTGATTGTGAAATACTGATATTTCTGATTTTGAGAAAGGTGATATTTTCACTGCAGTGACAGAAATTTGATATGTTCACTGCAGTGAAAATATCACTTTGCAGAACTACAACACAATAAATGGCAATGTAAACATGTGCATTTCATCGGATGCACTTGGTGAGCATGAGCATCAGATTGTCAACCTCCAGCGAAGAAAACTTGCACTGAACAGCTGATTGTTTAGTCATTCAGTGCACTGGTACTCGGCGAGTGACGCTGTGTGGCAGTCCTATCTTTGATAATCTCCAGGGTATGCACTCCAACAAATCTTCCCTACATCCTGGATGCATCTACAGCTTGGCCCGATAATTTTATTACCTCCCCTTGCTGGCTTTTATCATTAATCAACAAGCATGTGCAGTGAAATTTCAATTTCACACGTACAACTCGTTCACCTGTCTGTTCTACCAGCAAGCGGTTCTCCCTCGTAAGAAATAGCGAAAAGTGACAACAAAATAATGATCGTTTGTTAAACAACTTTTTTATTCGGGTGTCCAAAATTATGACACGAATCATCAGAGTTGGTCTGTCGATTAATACTTTTTCTTATCAATGATGTTTCTGATTATCGATCATTTCAGCCAGCCCTAGTAAATAGTTGGGTGGTTTTATTCTCAGTCACGCTCTTCAATTTCCCTCAGCGTACCATGTTTGTTTCTGGTTCGTATGTATTCGTGTGTGTGTATACAGAGCGAATGATACAGATATGTGTTATTTTTTATTAAATAATCAAAAAACAAATTATGTCATCTGCGTCACAGTGCGTGCCTGAACAAAGAAAAATCTTTTGTTTACAATTGATAGTATTTGAATTTCAGTAATTGAATTTTCTTGGATTGATATTGTTTCAATGTAATTGAATATAAATAGGAAGAATATGATACATAGAACAGCAATTTTGTCACGGTCAACTCACAGCCCAATGATATCCATGTTTATCTCCACAGTATGAAACTGGAAGGTCAACTCACAGCCCAATGATATCCATGTTTATCTCCACAGTATGAAACTGGAAGGTCAACTCACAGCCCAATGATATCCATGTTTATCTCCACAGTATGAAACTGGAAGGTCAACTCACAGCCCAATGATATCCATGTTTATCTCTACAGTATAAAACTTGAAGGTCAACTCACAGCCCAATGATATCCATGTTTATCTCTACAGTATGAAACTGGAAGGTCAACTCACAGCCCAATGATATCCATGTTTATCTCTACATTATGAAACTTGAAGGTCAACTCACAGCCCAATGATATCCATGTTTATCTCCACAGTATGAAACTGGAAGGTCAACTCACAGCCCAATGATATCCATGTTTATCTCCACAGTATGAAACTTGAAGGTCAACTCACAGCCCAATGATATCCATGTTTATCTCCTACAGTATGAAGCTGGAAGGTCAACTCACAGCCCAATGATATCCATGTTTATCTCTACAGTATGAAACTGGAAGGTCAACTCACAGCCCAATGATATCCATGTTTATCTCTACAGTATGAAACTGGAAGGTCAACTCACAGCCCAATGATATCCATGTTTATCTCTACAGTATGAAGCTGGAAGGTCAACTCACAGCCCAATGATATCCATGTTTATCTCCACAGTATGAAACTGGAAGGATTGAATGAAGCTGTGGAGTTCGGTGCTAAGATGAGAGAAGAGAACTTCTCTCTTCAGGAAGGCGAGACATTTCTCAATCATGGATCTTATGGCAGTGTTCCAAAATGTGTCCAACAAGTAAGACTAAGGTATAACTGATGATATTTTATATCAATTTCCACTTATCAGCTAAATCTGATTTCTGTACATGTAATGTTTGTTATAGTTCATGGATATAATTATCTAAACAACCAAATCTGATTTCTGTACATGTAATGTTCTATCATAGCTATTAGAAATGAAATAATAAAACCGACTGTTTGTTTAATGCCACCGTCGGCAATTTTCTAGCTACATGTATATGGCAGCTGTCTGTAAATAATCAATCTGGATCAGACAATCCAGTGCATCACATTAGTGTTGGGAATTGGTTGAAATCTCGCAATTGATGAGTGGTTCAATACCAACGGTTGTAGTTGCAAATAAGTATAAAGAAAAAAAACATTTGGTTCTCTGTTGTTGTTTTTTTGTTTTATTTAGAAACTGCACAAATTACATTTGCAAATTTCACATCCAGTGTAAAATGATTCAGTTCCATTGTAACATAAACTTCTCAGATTCTTCAAGAAATATTCAGTCATGACTTTTCAGAAAGTGAAGTGAGTTTTCTAAGAATTAAACACGGACAACGTCCTAAATATGTTCCATCATCAAGTATTTCAAACTCTATTACAGCGGTTCCAAAATCGTTTGTAATTTATGAGAACATGTGATCGATTGCTTGGTCGTTTGGCCACTGCGACCAATCTTCGATTATTTCAATTAATCGGAACACCACTACTTCACATCACAAGCATCGGCATACGCTATTGACACTCGATAACGTGCATTAACCAGTCAGTGAACCTGACCACTCCAAGTCTGTTTGTTGCCACTTGCTACAAGCATGGGTTGGTGAAAATTGTAATTGGGACTTTTAAGGGTCACAGGCTGAAGAGATTTCAAACCCTTCCTACTTATCTACTGAGAAGAGTGACGCGACAAATGGACTTTGCACATTGTACCCCTGTGGGCAGTCACACCTGGGACTTTGATGTGACGAGTGAATGCTTTAACCACTTGGCTACCCCACCGCCCCATGAAACCAATAAGTGATGAGACACATAGGCCCAGATAAGCTGCGTATCCGGGTAAAATACGCATAGAAAATTTCCAATTACGCATTGAAAAAATAATTGTTGCGTACCAATTACACATTTAAAATGTCAGATACGCAAAAAGTTTAAAATAAATGCATACAGAATATATTTATAAAAATCGCTTGCGTAATGAAAAAGACATCAATTGCTATCAAGTTGTACTGTTAGTATAGGACAAGTGTTGTACTGTCAGTATAGGATGAGTGATTTTTTATGAAATCATTTCCATTATATTAAAGTTGGTTTTGATTGGGTATGACATAAGGCAGAACATACCTGCTTAGTAAACTTACTCAATGACATATACTTAGGTGAGTAAAATGACTGAAATATGCAGATATTTGAAAGCAGTGGGTAACGGAAAATGAAATACCCACTCAACATTCATAATACCCACTCCAAAAAAATACAGTGGGTACAGTACCCAAATCTTATCTGGAGCTCTGGAGACATTGGCCTGCTGTTTCAGTGAAACCTGATTCCACAATGGGATAAGTGGCCAAATATTTCAGTGAAAGGGCTCCATGAGGAGGTAACAGCACCTTGAGTTACAGTCGACATTTTTCTGTCAACAGTATTAGTGCCATCTGCATCCTTACATCAATGCAGTGTCCAATAGGAAGCCTCAGTCCTTCCCCAGCCCACCCTGCCTGTCCAAACACCACCAACTCTCCTGCCTATTCACTCACTCACTTAACCAACCACTCACTCATTTACTGGTGACTTCAGATTCCTGGAAGAGGTGGATCGACACCCTGATGACTGGTACCGGAGGAATGGCTACAAGTACTGGCAGGAATCACAGAAGGCAGCCGCAGACTTCATGCATTGCGAGCCTCAGGACTTGGTGTTTGTCCAAAATGCAACTACAGGTACACACAGTTGTTGTAAAATCACTGTACAGTTATATCACAGCTTCTTACTTGGTTAGGACCTGTGAAGATCCGGGGTAGAATGGGTCTTCAGCAACCCATGCTTGCCACAAAAGGCGACTATGCTTGTCGTAAGAGGCGACTAACAGGATCGGGTGGTCAGGCATGCTGACTTTGATGACACATGTCATGGGTTCCCAGTTGTGCAAATCGATGCTCATGCTGTTGATCACTGGATTGTCTGGTCCAGACTCGATTATTTACAGACCGCCGCCATATAGCTTGAATATTCCTGAGTGCTGCGTAAAACTAAATTCACTCACTCACTCACTCTTTAATGGTTAGGCCGGTGGGGTAGCCTTGTGGTTAAAGCGTTCACTCATCACGCCATAGACCCAGGTTCGATTCCCCACATGGGTGGAATATGTGAAGCCCATTTCTAGTGTCCCCACTGTGATATTGCTGAAATATTGCTAAAAGTGGCGTAAAACTATACTCACTCACTCACTCTTAAATGGTTAATCTGGGGCTTTACAGTAGGGATGGTAAGAATATAGGTCCCAGGAATGTATGGGGTTATTAACTGAATCATGTGGTCAGTCGCAGCAGGTGAAATCAATTTCATTGTATCCCAGTAGCATGGAACAGTGCTCATGATTTCAATCACTGGATTTTCAAGTCCAGACACAATTGACCAAGATATTTTATGGATTTAAGCTTCTTTAATTCATAAAATATGTTGGTCATCTTTAACAACTTCTAAATGTTGCTAACAGACATCAGACAAAATTGTTTACAGACTTCCATCGTATATCTGGAATATTACTGATTACAATAAAAATCGAGATTCAATTAAACAAACATGACAAACAAATATGTGTATCATTCACAGGTGTGAATACGATCCTGAAGTCCTGCCGCTACAAGCCAGGAGATATTCTACTGTACACCACGCTGACATATAGAGCTATAGCCTATACCTGCGATGCAACATCGGAGCTCTATGACGGTAGGTTGGGAACAGCTTGGGTGTTTGAGTTGGGTGAAGGGGAGGGAGAGAATCAGATGGGGCGGCTTGATAGGTGGTTGGATTGGGGGAAGGGTGAGAGAGAATCAGATGGGGACTGCTTGGTGGGTGGGTGGGCTGGGAAGGGTTGGGAAAGGGATGGGTGGGAGAGAATCAGACGAAAACAGCTTGCTTGGTGGTTGGGATGGTGGAAGGGGTGAGGAGAAAATCAGATGGGAACAGCTTGGTGGGTGGTTGGGTTGGGGGAAGGGGTGAGGAGAGAATCAGATGGGGACAGCTTGGTGGGTGGTTGGGTTGGGAAAGGGGTGGGGAGGAGAAATCAGATGGGGACAGCTTGGTGGGTGGTTGGGTTGGGGGAAGGGGTGGGAGAGAATCAGATGGGGACAGCTTGGTGGGTGGTTGGGTTGGGGGAAGGGGGGGAGAGAATCAGATGGGGACAGCTTGGTGGGTGGTTGGGTTGGGGGAAGGGGTGAGGAGAGAAATCAGATGTGGACAGCTTGGTGGGTGGTTGGGTCAGGATGGGGAAGCTTGGGTGGGTGGGGGTTGGGGAAGGGGTGAGGAGAGAATCAGATGGGACAGCTTGGTGGGTGGTTGGGTTGGGGGGAAGGGGAAGGAGGAGAGAATCAGATGGGGACAGCTTGGTGGGTGGTTGGTTTGGTGGAATGGGGGGGTGGGGAGAATCAGATGTGGACAGCTTGGTGGGTGGTTGGGTTGGTGGAAGGGGTGGGAGAGAATCAGATGTGGACAGCTTGGTGGGTGGAATTGGGGGGGTGGAAGGGGTGAGGAGAGAATCAGATGGGGACAGCTTGGTGGGTGGTTGGGTTGGTGGAAGGGGTGAGGAGAGAATCAGATGGGGACAGCTTGGTGGGTGGTTGGGTTGGTGGAAGGGGTGAGGAGAGAATCAGATGGGGACAGCTTGGTGGGTGGTTGGGTTGGTGGAAGGGGTGAGGAGAGAATCAGATGGGGACAGCTTTGGTGTTGGGTGGTGGAAGGGGTGAGGAGAGAATCAGATGGGGACAGTGGTGGTGGAAGGGGTGAGGAGAGAATCAGATGGGGACAGCTTGGTGGGTGGTTGGGCTGGGGGAAGGGGTGGGAGAGAATCAGATGGGGACAGCTTGGTGGGTGGTTGGGATGGGGAAAGGGGTGGGAGAGAATCAGATGGGACAGCTTGGTGGGTTGTTGGGTTGGTGGAAGGGGTGAGAAGAGAATCAGAGGGGACAGCTGGGGGTTCGGTGAAGGCATTGGGAAAAATCAGATGGGGACAGCTTGGTGTGGGTCCCCACTTGGGTACTATGTGTGATGCCCATTTCTGCTGCTCCCCGCTGTGATGTGTGCTGGAATATTGCCAAAAAGCGTGAAACTTCACGAACTAATGAGACAAATGTAACTCATTGTGCTTTCATACAATTCTTGTTATATTTTTCAGGCGTCAAGTCAGTTGAGCTGGATATACAATTTCCGATATCTAGTGAGGACGAGATTTGCGAAAAATATGAAGATTTCTTCAAATCCAATCCACAAACCAAAATTGCTGTTATAGGTAAGTAAAGATTGTTTGTTACAACTGACTGATAACAATAATAGTGGTCCCCATAGGTAATCTCATTTAGAAGGAGTTATTGGCCATTCTTCAGATGATCACTGAATTGTCTGGCCCAGACAAAGTTCTTAAAGTATATACATATTTTTATCTCTGGAATCATAGAATAAACATTTTTGCTATTTCTGGGTGCCAAGACCATGTCTTAACTGTCATTTTGGGGTGGTTAGGTAGCCTAATTGTTAAAGCATCTGCTCATCACCCTGGAGACCTGGGTTCAATTCCCCACATTGGTACAATGTGTGAAGCCCATTTCTGGTGTCTCCCTGCCGTGATATTGCTGAAATATTGCTATAAAACGGCATAAAACCATGCTCACTAACTGTCATTTTGATTTATAACCATGATGACATGCCATTGGCACAATATACAAACAGTATCAAATATGGATTATATTATGTCACAATAAATCATCTCATGTACTAGTATGTATCGACCTTAACCTGTCATTGTATGTCAGATGCCATCACCAGTCCGTCAGCTGTAGTGATGCCGTTGAAGCGCCTCGTCGATCTGTGTCACAGGTATGGAGTTATGGCCGTTGTAGACGGCGCACATGCTCCTGGCACACTTCCGATCAATCTCACCGACCTTGGCGCCGATGCTTTTACAGGTAATATTAATTTGGTATTTTATTTGTTGAAAAATTATAACAAATATCTTCACATGCAAATGTCTATGAAAATATGAAGTAGATTTCCTGTGGATCAATCTCACCGACCTCGGTGCCGATGCTTTTACAGGTAATATTAATTTGATATTACATTAAAGGAGAATATTAGACAATTGCAGTAATTTGCTGGGTGAAGGATAAAGTCATCAGAAACATGTACCCCAATTTTAATTTAAAAATTATGGTTTATTATGTTTTTATCTCGAAAACAGTTTCTGTTATCTGAGCTTCAGCCATTATGCATATTCCGCTGGAACTCCCGTGACCTTTTCGCTAGTGACGTCATATGTGACTAGCATCCGCCATATTGCCAAAGAACAATCCCTTTAGTAATACAAATCGTGCTGTTTCTGTCGTTTTTGTAAATGGTACGATGGTGTATTCCGTTCCCTGGTTATGCACGGAATAATCGAAAAAGGAAAGAGGCACCATTTCTCCCGTTTCCCAAGTAAAGAGACAGATTTAGGCAGGGTATGAAAATCCCAAAGCTAGGCTGAAGAAGGAAGAAGTACCCACGAGATTCATTTATACTCCATCATTCCCTGTTACAACTTACTGTCAGTGGTATTTTTAACATAAATTAAATCAAGTCCGATTGCCAGTCGAATTGCCCCCGCTACAAATTGTCTCCAGCAAATTTGGTCAAATTGCCTCAGGAGGGTAGTCAAAATGCCCCAATTTATTTAAAATGATTAAATATAGGACATAAATGCATAGTTTTGTCAACTTTGATATTATGTTCTTCATATAAAAGTATATACATAGTTATGAGTTTACTAATGGAACACTTATCAGCAATATTACTTCCTATGATAACTTTATATGAAGAACATAATATCAAAACTATGCATTTACGGCATATATTTAATCATTTTAAATAAATTTGACCAAATTAGAATGAATGACCAAATTTGCTGGCGCATTTTGTAGCTGGGGGCAGTTCAACTGGTACCCATAAGATATGTTATTAAAATCAGTAAGAGATTTCACATTGGCTTGAAAATGTTTCGCTATAACGTTCTTTTCGGTTTGGAGCCCAAAATGCTGCAGTCTACCCGAAACATTGTCGAATACAGCGGCAAATCATGAAGTACTTGTTGCTTTCATTGTTTTCCATTTTGTCCAATTACGCACGTCGGCATCAGACTCGCTATTTGTCAGTAGTGTGTGCCGTGAAAGTTGTTCTGTATTCTCATTGGCTGACAAGATGTCATTCTAAGGCTATGACCGAGTACCATGTAACTATTTCCATAACCAAACACTAGGGAAACATAATTTTAATCTTAATCACGGAAGGTGACTTTTAGAATTCCTTTACAATAATCAAAAGTTTTGTCTCTCGTTCGACCTTTAAATAAAAATTATAATGAATATCTTACACACAAAGTCATTATAAAAATATGGAACTAGGATTCATTTTAGATTTCATTTATAAATGGAAGTCTCCTGGCATCAAGCTTCAATTTTGTAGCAAATAACATTCTAGTTTTACTACAATGTTAGTATGAAGGATATGTATTTCTGTGCAGATAATCCCACAGAAAGAAACATGGATATAAGTGTCATGATATCGAACAAATAATGTATGTTGTGCTATGTTCAAAACCACAATGGCTGATAGTTGGTTGAAGCTTGCAAAAAATTTAGTTCTTACCAGCTGGGGAATAAGATTTATAAATCTGTTTCTGATTGTTTTATGACACATATGGAGTTGACTTTCAGATTATGCTGACAAATAGTTATAAAGAAATAAAATGATATAGGTCTATTCCAGTTGGCTTTGTATCCCAGCTTGGAACGAATTGGGTGTATTAGTCCAATGCTGTGATACCCCAACCTCAACAAAATACCCCTTTGTTTGCCTTCCAGTTCTTGTATAAAGTGGGGCCTCCGGGCATGGTTGGGTCAAATTTGGATTTTGAGGGTGTCCAATTTTTGTCCAATCATAGAAGATTCAGAGAGTCTTTGATGTGTTTAATTCCCAAAGACAACCAATTTGTTTTAAAGCGGGGCTACGAAGCTTGTAAGCCCCTGTCAAATCAGGTCGTGTTTTCTTTGATTAGATCATCAGCTTAATGCTGTCTGTGCTCTTCTAAGAGCTGTCTGACATTGACTTGACTCCCCACAATGGCAAAGCCACCATGAATCATGACCTGAATTTAGAGCATCATTGCCTCTCACAACCACATTCTGTATACCTTGCCATTTAATGTCTCTGTTTTTTGTAAATGCCTAGCCTGTAAACTGGCATATGTCCTGGTTCACTCTTTTGTGTAAGTAAAAATAGTTCTCAGTGGCCGTCTGCCACTTCCTTCAGCTTCTTTTGGTTTTGCAACCCTTGGGTTGATGGAAATTTACATAATTTACGTGAACACAAATACACAACACAAAAATCCTGAATACGTCAATTGCGATAGTTGGTACTCACCCTATATCCAGTCTAAATGAACCTCACTTTTCCCCCTAATTAACCAACTTCAAGCCATAAGGGCCTGGAAATATTTGAAACTGCCAGCCCAATACAATAACAACCGATGCTGGCACTCTGGGCCGGCGATTATTTCGAACGTTGAGCTGCAGTGATGTTTTGCAGGCATGGCATACTCATTGATCCAGTGAATTATATTTCCACTTCTCCTTGGATACTGTGTACCCACCCATTTGTTTTGAATGACATAGTGCTAGAAACTAGAAATGCTAGATAGTTCTATAAGCCTGATGGATCAGGGGAACATATGCTTGGAAGTCAATGTGTGACTTGATCACAATACAACCTTCATGGGTGATTGGGTACAGCGTGTGAAGCCCATTTCTGGTGTCCCCTGGCATGATATTGTTGCAATATTGCTAAAAGCAGCGTAAAACCATATTCAAAGCGTGATAGTTTTTAACCTCACTGTATTTTCATCCACTTCATCTGTTCACTTTCAGGGTTCGAAATACCCCATATATTAGTGTGCCATGGCACGGTAAATATTGAAATGGCACGGTTAAAAAATGTTCCTGTGCCGTTTTGACACGCCTAATTTTTTAGAGACATAACTCACATTTAGTCATTTAATCCCCAATACAATTATTTTTTCCAAATTGAATAATACCATACATATTTGAATGCTCATAAACCCATTTCTTTATTTAACAATAAATTTCAAATGATCATCATCATTGTCATTTATTCTAAAAACATGTGGGCGCGCGCGATTTCTGAAAGGCACACCTAAAATATTTGTCTGGTGCCCTAAGGCACACTTAGAAAAAAAAGTATTTCTATCCCTGACTTTGTACAAGACTGCAGTGGGTTTATCCTCATGCCAGAAAGTAAACTGTGATCTTGAACTTGTGTTTATCGACCAATCAGATTGCTGGACACATTTTCATCTGTTCTACTGGTATATAATTCCATGTTGACAGCTAACTTCCACATTGACAGGAGACTTCCACAATTGCAGCTGGGTGTACTCTCCACTTTATCATCCAAACCTGTGTACCACAGGAGATATTGCTTGTGTGAGAATAAACGATATCTCCTGGGAGATATCATTTTGACAGTAGATTTTGTACAATGCCCTGACAATGCTATGACATCATGAACTTGATGATGTCACAATGCTATGACATCGCTGCACTGCAAGTCTAATGGCAGTGCCGTGTTCAGAGATGTGCATTTTTCTTTGAACACAAATGAAGAGTGATTTTTGATGATAAATAGAATGTCACCCTCGTGTCTCCTGATATTAAATATATCAACACTCGGCAAGCCTCTGATATTTATAACTTTATCAACTCGTGGTGATATATTTCATATCAAAAGCAGGGGTGGAAATAACCCATTGCCCGACGTCCGAGTCCAGTGTTTTTTTCTGTCGGGCAAGCAAATTTGTATATCACACTGTACCAGTGTCCAGTTGACTTTCCAATGTTAATTATGTTGTTTATTTAAAAAATCAGCAAGAAAACGGTCGGCATAGTGGGAAAATTATCAGGGCAAGTGACTTTACATGTGCCACTGTACCGGAGTACACTATCAATTTTAAAGTTATTTCCACCCCTGACAAGACGGTTGGGTGAGATTCACTGTAGATTTCTTTACATTGTCCAAGATTACAGTGAGTTTCCACACATGCCAGAAAGTAAACTGTGACCTTGAACTTGAGTTTATCGACCAATCAGGTAGCTGGACACATTTACATCCACTCCACTCTATTTGATTCAACATTGACAGGCAACTTCCACAAGTGGGTGTACACTCCTCGGAGCTGTGCCATTTTGCATGTGAAACGAGAGCATCACAGCTGGGTCCACCCGCTCGTCACGTCTTGGAACCACGCCCTAACACTGGACAAACAGTTCTTCCTTGTCGGTACAAATGATCAGACAGCGTACGTGTCTGCCAAATATGGAGTTGAGTTCTACCAGCGGATTGGAGGCATGGTAACTAGTACCTATATTGTGTTAGGGACAGTTTTGTAAATAATCATACAATGTTAGGTGATTCCACTGTGTGGGTGGCCAAGTGACCGATATGCAGAGTTGCCTCTCTTACATTTGTCAGGAATGCTATAATCTGGGTTGGAATCCTAGATTTGCACTGATGCCAGTGTAAAGGTCTTTAGAGTTATTCGACCCGTGAAGATCTGGGGTAGAATAGGTCTTCAGCAACCCATTCTTGTCATAAAAGGCGACTATGCTTGTTGTAAAAGGCGACTAACGGGATCGGGTGGTCAGGCTCGCTGACTTGGTTGACACATGTCATCGGTTCCCAATTGCGCAGATCGATGCTCATGCTGTTGATCACTGGATTGTCTGGTCCAGACTCGATTATTTACAGACCGCCGCCATATAGCTGGAATATTGCTGAGTGCAGCGTAAAACTAAACTCACTCACTCACTTATTCAATTGATAACATCCATACCTTGGGGTTTAACCGCTTTAGGCATGCAGACAGAAATATACTCTAATGTTGTGTAAACTCCAGCTATTAAGTATAACCCTTGTCATCCTGTATATATCAGCATGGATACACACTTCATTACCAACAATCTGCTTCAACACACATGTTGTGGATCTGTTTCAGGATAAGATCATCGGCTACGCATCCAAGCTCGCTACAGAGGCACATGAGTATATTCTCAAGAAGCTCCAAGCAGAGCCATTACAGATACCTCAGAGTATGGAGTCTCCCACAATGAGGGTGATCCGACTGCCAGACTTGCCTCAGTACCCCTGCACTCGGGTAGGTCACCTCATACCTCAGTGACCCATGGAAATCCGGGTTAGAATTACTAAAGTATGTTTGTCGTATGAGGCAACTAACAGGATCGGGTGGTCAGGCTCGCTGACTTGGTTGACACATGTCAACGTATCCCAATTGCGAAAACTGATACCCATGATGTTAATCACTGGATTGTCTGGTCCAGACTCGATTATTGACAGACCGCCACCATATAGCTGGAATATTGCTGAGTGCGGTGTAAAACTAAACTCACTCACTCACTTGTACTCTCAGTTGATTACTTTTGAGATAGTACAGGTCCCCAGTTTAAAATATGTGAAGCGGGTTTGGGGAGCCTGTTTTTTATAAACTCTGTCAGTTTTTAAATTGAGCAAAACGGTGGCCTACTTTGTAGGCAGAGAAGTACTCTGTGTTGATGGATGAATGTGTCAAATGTAGGCAGTCATACCGCCGATGTCATCCTCATCAGGGGTGGTGAGGTAGCCTAAAGTTACGGTTGGTAATAGAAAAAAATGGCTGTTGCTCTGTGTCCGTAAAATTTAGACCACTGCAAATAGCATATGTCGAAATAATCCACGTCGGCCTAACTTAGCATTCAGTGGGATGTGTAATAGGATATCCAGAAAAGCATGTTTATGCATAAAATCGGGCAAAACTTATGCATAGCTGTTGAAAACAATAGATCAGACTGTAGATGTGAATTGGGTCGCTCAGCCAGGTATGACGACGGACATGTGCTACCCAGGGCTACAGATAAGGGGCGTACATGCGTAATGTACGCCTCAAAATCAATTAAGTACGACATAATATAAGATTTCAAGCGTATCGTGTACGCACATAAATACTTTTGTATGTCTAACATTTAATTTCCGTGCGTATCGTGCAAATGGAAATCTATTTCGGATAAATACATGTTTCTTTTGCGAAACACGATTTGACACATGAGGAAACCCCGACAGTAGGAATCCCTTGCGTTCCCATGCAACGATATGCGTCACTATTTTTCGATTGGCTAAAAACTACACTGTTCCTATTTATATCCAGTCGGACCTGACATTTCGCGCATCACACGGTCGCTCAGTTATTTCTCACGCGTCTTCAAATACAAATACATGGTTGGAAATAGTGATCGATGAATCGTCCAGACAAACCAAATCACCAACTCGCTCACACAAAAACATGTCAGTACTCCTTCAAAATTCTCAGTACACCTCCACTTGCAATATGATGTGTAAGTACACTCACACCCCCAAAAGTTATCTGGAGCCCTGCTACCTACAGGCACAAGGGGTCGTGTCAAAGATGTTTTATGCGTTCTTGTGTGTTGAATATTTCTCATCTATTGATCAAGTCTTAACGTGTCTTTCTTTCATAAAGTTTATGTTGAGATATGTAAAAAGTATGATACCCATAGAAAAGCTTATATCAGCCATCGTATTAAATGTCTCAAATTATATAGGTTGCATGACCATTGACCATCCGAAGATCGACAGGACTGGATATTATTTGTAAATTGTTTTGACATGCCGTTTACTCCCTCAGTTTATGATTACACAATAGCTTTCGGCAGTGGGAGCCGTGCCAATTTACACTTATCAGAGGGGTATACAAAGTCCGTGGTCTAGACTACCAGTTGTCCGACTTCCATTTTGGTGGAAGCCGCGGTGGCTGAGCAGGTTTGGCGGCTGACTTTGTGTGCTGGCGATTAGGTGCCTGACCCTGAGGTTGTGGGTTCGAATCCCGGATGGGACTCAACCCAACAAAAGTGGTAGAATCTGTACTTTACTACACTTGTCTACTGCATATGCTTGATGTTTGATGCAGTTATGATGTATAGGAGAAAACACTTCCCTCGGTTTTGGTAGAGAATGTAAAACCGAGGGAGGAGGGAAATCCCGAGGGGCTTTAGCCCCACTTTAGCCCCGAGGGTTTTCCCTCCTCCCAAGGTTTTACATTCTCTACCAAAACCGAGGGGAAGTGTTTTCACTAACATATAAACCGTCAATGATGGATAATTATAATGTAGATGATCATTTAATGAAGCTACATAACAATAACTGAAGCGCAAGTAAAATCAATTTAATGACAGTAACTATAAATAGATAATTTAACCCCAACATCTTTGTCGGCTCGGTGGCCGTGAGGTAGAGCGTCCACTTATTCACCTGATAGATGCGGTTCTAATTCTGCTTGGGAAAACATTTGCACTTTAAAATAGATCTTAGACGATATTTTTCAATTGATTTCAAACACTCATATATCATTTGAATGTTAATGTTCTTATAGAGTTAGGAAAAACCTGGGAAGAGGTCTTACTTACAAAAGTAAAACCTGAGAGCAAACAAAAACCTCAAATGCGGTTATTCCGGGAAAAGAAGAGATGCTTAATATATAGTGAGAAACATACTCCAGGTATATATGAAGGACATGATACATATTAACAGGCTGCTGTGGAGAGAAGCTGAGGAGCACAACTTCAGTGGTTGTCATGTATGGGAGTAGAGTCTGATCACATGTAAACGCAATGTTTGTGCAGACCTAGTGTAATTGTTATTATTAGCGTACCAGATTTGTTTGTATTCCAAACCCATTTCACACAATTCTCTTATCGGCATCCAAGATGTTGGTGAGTAGATAAGGAAGCATACATTTCTGTGGATAACAACTTCTTGTTTTTGCATAGAGCGACATTTCCGTGTAGATTCTTACACCATAAGGACTGCCTCCGTGGTGTAGTGGTTAGAGCGTCCGCCCGGAGAGCTGAAGGTCGCAGGTTTGATCCCCTACCGCGTCATACCAAAAGACTTTAAAATATGGTACTTGTTGGTCCCTGCCTGGCGCTCGGCATTAATGGGTACAACAAGGACTGGTCGGCTCGGAGTCAGTATAATGTGTCTGAGTGGGGTATTCATGCTTCACTGCGGCATGGTATCTCAGTGGGCTAGCACTATAAAACCAGCTTCAGTCTGGGCTAGTACAAGCAGCCGCACATACCCATACACACGCATGCACGTCGTCATATGAGCGAAATATTCTCAAGCACGACGTTAAACCCAATTTCACCTCACCTCTTACACCATGAAACTAAAAGTCTCTAAAACAAGAAGATGTTATCCACAAAGTTGTATGCCTCATTATTGTCAAATTAGCACTGATACTGTACAGCTCTGCACTTTCAACAGTGTGTTTTGTTCTCTGGATTGCTGAATATATTATGTAAAAATATTGAAGGCAATCAGTTTTTGAAGTACCTCTGTTGCCAGAGATATTTTGAAACAATGTGATACATGAATAGATAGCATCCATACATTGTGAGCTTCCTGATAGGTTGAACCTCCTTTTGGGCAAGATGACTGACCTCAAAAGGTTTCAATCCCAAGAATTTAAAAATGTTTTGGCTGCTACAAAAGCATGAATGGATGGTATGTTGATGTCTTTGAAGTCTCCTTGTGGATGTCTTTGAAGAGTCCTTGTGGATGTCTTTGAAGTCTCCTTGTGGGCAAGACATCTTACCTTGGATCGGAAGGTTTGAATCCTGAGAGTTTTATAATTTGTGGCTTCTACAAAAGCATGATGGAAAGTGCAATGTTGATGTCTTTGAAATTACAGGAAGGATCCATCGCTTTCCACACGGACGTACGCTACAAGTACAACATCCAGTGTGCCATCGAGTTGATCCAGGGTCATCTACATCTCCGCATCAGTTGCCAGGTATACAACACGATGGAGGAGTACAAGCGACTGGCAGACTGTCTCCTGGAAGTCATTCAAACTAGCAGGAAAAATTGAGGATAAAAAGTGAACGAAGCTGATTCTCATACCAGTGATTTGGGTAAAATGGTATCGAAAGGTTGTTTAATGAACAGGGTTTTACACAGACTTTAAAAAATTGGAGTCATGGTGACTCACAATATTTATTACTGGGAGTCATTTTCAATATTTAAGAGTCATGAAAATTTTAATATTTCTTTGTGTTAATCATTCTCAGTATGTAACTGTCTATGTCACACCACCAAATGAGACTACAGCATTGTTCAATTCAAACAGCCAGGATTACTGTCTCCTCTGAGTTCTCTGGAACAATCTGACAGCTCTGTAAAAGTCAAACTATCATCAAACAATATCATTTTTGCTTATCAAATCGATTTTATTGAACTGAATTGTGAGGGCCAACCATAACACTTGCGTCAAGCTTGACTCGTATGATAATATTTTGAGAGTCTTTTACAAAATTGTTGCGTCAAATACGCAGGAATCATTCGTCATGTAGAACCCTGATGAACAGTATATGATCAATAAGTTAATCTATCAGTCTTTATTAAAATTATTTAATAAGGCACTCCGATTGAAACAGCATGATAAGATCTTTATGTTTTTTATTTGTTTGTTTTGGTGAACGGACACTACGAAATTGTTGAAGTGATACATTTTTACATCTATTTCATGCTGATATGAATTTCATGATTCACAGACAATTTGTTACCTTGGGTCTCAGCAATGATATGTTGTTACAGGTTATATAACTATGTTACACCATTAAGTGCATACCATTGTGGTGGTGTGTGGTCCTGTGTATAGAGCTCAGGTCACAAATCAGTTGAAGTTAAACAATGTTGGGCGCGAAGAGTTCTTGGATGGGTGAACGTGTTTGGCAGCTTGACTCCTGAGAGTTTCTAGGACTTCAGTCCTGCCCCACAACGAAGCACATGTGATACATGTGGTCTCACCTTAAGCAAGTAAGTTTGTTCATAATGTTCACCCAGCAGAAAATGGGTACCCGGTGGGATAAGTCATGTGACTATAGCCTTCTAGCGCCTAACAAGTAGCTTGGGTTATCCAGGGTAATTATGTGCTGTGCTATTCATTGTTAGCGCTATGAGCATACCTGTGGTGGAGTTTGGCGCTATATAAATGGACACATTATTATTATTACTAAATGAATTTAATGCCATAAAAGTTGTTTTTGTTTGTCTTTTAGGGGTGAATATTTCATAGTTTCATGAATAAATAGGATTTTTTGTTTGAGTATTTCATAATTTCATGGACATTGAGTATATTTTGGGTGAATATTTCTTAATTTCATGCATAAATAGTAACAGACTTGTTTTCTACCTCACAATACCTCAAAGAGCCTTCCTGCATAATGTATCCTGGAGTATATTTGTATCCAGGGGTTGCAGGGATGTACTCAGTCAACAACTGTATTCTTGATGTTTGTGTTTGACAAATACATTTGATGACTGGTAATCAAACTATATGCAATATTTAAATGAATTGGTGTTTTATGCGTTTTGAAATGTTCGATCCACATGTTGTTACACTGACATACAAAAGAAGGTACACACCTGCTTTAGGGGGATTATTTTCTTAACACCACTGTAAATATTTTGAAAAGAGTTTTGATTGTGACCACAAAATGATCGTGTACATGTTGCCAATACATGGCAGATATCCTTTACATTGTTGTGCATGGGATATCATGAAAGTCAGGATTATGGTAAATCGCATTTGCATGCTATGCAGCAACAGTATAAAATACAGTTGAATGAGATTGTTAGTGGTATACTTGTTCAAGCCACTCCTGACTCGTTTATCTGTAACTGTAAGATGTGGATTGTCGGGGCTCGGATTTCAGTTTTTCATGTTTTGGGTTGTAGCGTTGTACAGTTCATTGTTCTCTGTCTGTTGACATCTCAGTACCCAATAGTATTTTTCGTTTCGTGAGGTAGTTATTTCCATTAATACTAGGGGCGGTGGGTAGCCTAGTGGTTAAAGCCGTCGCTCGTCACGCTGAAGACCCGGGTTCGATTAACCACATGGGTACAATGTGTCAAGCCCTTTTCTAGCGTCCCCAGCCGTGATATTGCTGGAATATTGCTAAAACAGGCGTAAAACTAAAACTCACTCACTCACACACTAAAAATGTCAAAGGGGCTGTGGGGTAGCCTAGTGATTAAAGCGTCCGCTCATCACGCTGAAGACACGTTTTCGATTCCCCACATGGGTCCAATGTGTGAAGTCCATTTCTGGTGTCCTCCGCCGTGATATTGCTAAAATATTGCTAAAACCAGCGTAAAACTAAAACTCACTCACTCACACACTCAAAATGTCAAGATTATCATGAACAGAGCGATGACAAGGCTTTGGAATGTCATAGATGGGGCCTTCGAACAGCCACATTGCCAGAACGTTCTGCTGTAGAAGGCAGGCCATCATCAGAATAACGATATGCAAGAGCCAGACTTGACTGAGAGTGACCGACTCCTCAAGATGACCATCACCTGCGCATTCTCCATCCAGGTGCTCACAGCGACGTCACCAACATCAGCAGCGTTGGGTCACTATATCAACATGAACACAGTGATTAGACTACTGGGTGTTGTCTGCATCCAGCCCTATCTACCATTTTGGGGCATGTCATTCATCCATCCAGTGGACTGAAGCCACTACAGTGGGTGAGGAATGTTATATTCCGTGGCGTTTAGCAACACATAGTCTATGCTCATGATTCGTAAGTCGCACTCAAAACACTTTCCAAATATTTACATTACTTCCAGGAAAATAATCCCACATCACTTTTTCAACAGGTGTGAACTTTCTTTTGTGTGTCAGTTTATTTGGGAATAGATTGTAATTTAAGTCAATTGTTATATTTTTTAATTGTGTTGTGTTTTATGGGTAGAGTTGTTTTGTTTATCACCATCTGTCCAATAATGACAAGTTACTATTCCTGTGTTAATATTTTCATAACACACAATCAGTAAAATTTTATGTTTTTTAATTGTGTTGTTCTATTCAGGTACAGTTTTGTTTAATCATAGGTTCAATCTTTGGAATTTTTTATTCCGATGTTACTGTTTGGGATGTCATGGATGTACCTAAAAGTCAAATATTATATGTTTTAATTGTTTTGTTCTATGCAGGTATAGTTGTTTTGCTTAATTAGAAATATTTTACCTGTTGCAATTTTTTTATTCCCAGTATGGTACTGTTTACATTAAAGCAATAAGTACTTATACATAAGTCCTTAATGCCATACTTATGTTGTTTTGGGGGCTTTTTTGAGTGTTTACCTGAAATAATGCAATAGTGGGAAAGCAATAAAACAATATTTTTCATTGTGCATGTGTTTTTTAAGATCTGTTTCCATTTGTACTTGATAAAGATTTACCTTCAAATGAAATATGTTATCTTATATCATGAATGTTAATGTTAGCTTAGATGATGCAGCTTGATTGTCATTCAATGAAGACAAGGGAATTATTTCACCCTTGTTGACCCTTTGTATCTTGTGTTTACTGAACAGCAAGAACATTTATATATTTTTATTTTTCGTCTTCTTTCAACTGATTCGGCGGTGGGGTAGTTCAGTGGTTAAAGCGTCCGTTCGTCACGCCGAAGACCTGGGTTTGATTCCCCACATGGGTACATTGTGTGAAGCCCATTTCTGGTGTCCTCTGCCGTGATATTGCTAGAATAGTGCTAAAGCAGCGTAAAACCATACTCACTCACTCACTTTCAAGTGATTCAGATACATTGAGGAGTTGGCATGTGTACAGATTGTGATAAGAGCATTTGTGTCATGCTGATTTATTTTTGCCGTCATACTGAACTGAACATATGAATGCTGCACTGCAAGCAATGAAGGATATTACGTGAATTCCTACATGTGTTTCGTAAAATATGATTGTCACACATGTATATGTCATATGATTTCTTTGTTAACTGTTTTATCATAATCCTTGCACTCAAAACTGATCACAATCGCCATCTTTGAAAACTGCACCTGTCGAATCACATAAACTGTCGTAATTATGAAGAGGCTTCTAATATGACGTCATTTTGACCTTATGTCACAAAAAGATTCCATTGATGTCAACGGTATTGTCAAGATAACACCATCAGTGAGTGAGTATGATTTTAAGCCGCTTTTAGCAATGTTCCAGCAATATCACAGCGGGGAACACCAGAAATGGGCTTCACAAATTGTACCCATGTGGGGAATCAAACCCGGGTCTTTGGTGTGACGAGCAACCACTTTAACCACTAGGCTACCCCACTGCCCCTTATGACACCAAAAACACACTGGTGCACATAAAGTGATATTTTCAGTAATGCACATGATTTTTATTAGCACATTATTCTTATGAACTCAGCTATTCCTAACCCTGTGGGTAATAAATAATTAAATGTTTTGTTAAGTCTAGTAAATAAATATATATAACCTATATTTGTACAATGAAATTATTAACTGAAAAATGCTATGTAGGTTAAATTTGTTTGTCTCTATGAATGTTGTACTTATATAATCTAACATTTTACACTTCTGGAAATGAATTAAGTATTTAATATTGCTGCTGAATATACTGATATTATCTGGCACGATTATGTGAATATTTTTATGTCAATGTGGCTAATAAAGTGCTGGTTACATTATTTTGTCTGGTTCATTTCATGATTGGCATAAGAGTGAGTGAGTTGTTAAGTAATTACTGTGCTGAAGTAGTTTCCAAATTTTGCTAGCCAGTCGAAAATTTGAATGTAGACATGGGTTTCAACATTAGCTGCTAAGGGACCATTAGTAAGTTTATGGGGAGTGATGATGATTTTTATGGGGTGTACAATGATGACCCCTAAAATTATTTTATAAGTCAAGCATGTACAAAATGAATGACCCCCTCCTCTTAAAATATATGTATTTTAAACATATTTAATGTACTTTATAGTTTGGCATGCATGCATGTACCCGTGTAAATAAGCAATGACACCGATCTCCCTGTCCCATAATTTAACTCAAGCATAATGTTTCAGCTAACATGACAGGTATTTATGTACAAAAATTGCGGGTCCCTCCCCAAACTATACATGTGTACAAAATTGATGACCCCCCCCTAGCTGCCCAGAACAAAATGGGTGACCCACCTTAAAATCATCACACC